ATCCCCAGTCACAAGATCACTGCCATTTCCAGGGCCCCTGGTACTGTTCCTTCCCTCCGCCTCCGCCAATGACTGCCTTTAGGGGCCTTTGAACTCGCTGTCTCTTCTGCTTCCAGATACCTGTGTGTCTGGGGTCTTGATTCCACACTCTTGCCTCTGCTTACTGTCATTTTCTCAGTGAGGCCTTCTCTAACTACCCTATTTTTTTTTTTTTAAATGGGTCTTGAACTCAGAACCTCCAGATCAGGAGTCCCTCCACCAACTGAGCCAGCCAGGCGTCCCTGACCATCCACCCTATTTTGGAATTGCAATTTTCCCCTGGGGTGATTTCTACCCCTTCTCTCTTGTATTTTTCTCTAAAGCATTTTTCACCCTCTGACATTCTCTATGAGTGATCGGCACCCCGTCCCCGCCCCCCCGCCCCGGTCCCGACCTCAGAGTAAGCTCTATGTGAGCGGGAGCAGGGTCAGTTTTGATCACTTGTGGATCCATCGCCAGCATGCAGAACAGTGCCTGCCACATAGTAGGCATTTGTCCAGTGTTTGAGTGGAGTGGTGAAGGGGCGGGATGAACCTCTGTTTGCGGTTGGGCCAGCGGATGGCGGTGTCATTCGCTGGGTCGGGAAGCACGGTCGGGTTGGGCGGGTGAAGTGGTTAGTTGGGGACAGGATGAGCAAGACACGCAAATGCGACTTTTCCCTCCTGCGCGTTCTACAGCCCGAGGGCTCGGCACGGGCAGCGTCCAAGGCAGCCAGCCAGGCGATCCGTGTGGCTCTGGGGCTGCGTGTCCTGCCACAGGCGTGGACCACAAATATGACACGCGCAGGCTCCTCCTGGCAGGCAAAAGCCTAGCTCGGCACGCAAGCCCCGGCCCTTTGCACCGCCCCCTCCCACTCCCCACCAATCGCGCACCCGCCAGGCTTCGCGGTTCCTCTCCCTCCACCCTCACCTCCAGGCTCGCCTAGAGAGTGGCGCTTTAAGAGCCCCGCCCCCGACTCCCCTCCCACTTCGCGTGACTGTGCCGGGACCCGAGGTGGGGAGTCTGGCAGCTGGGTGGCTGCGCCGGGCTCCAGGCCCTTCTCACGCGACTCCCGGGCACCGCGCGCGGGCACCGCGCGCAGGCCAGGTGGAGCCGGGATGGGCCGCGTGACCTCTGCCCCCTGGAGGGATGTACCAGACAAGTGCACGCTAGCCTGGGAAGGCTTTTGCGCTGGGCGTCCCCCTCCTCGGTCCCTGGGCCCCCTCTCCTCCCCGGTCCGAGGGTCCCCCTCTTCTCGGTCACCTGGAGCTGGCCGCACAGGCCGCTCGATTTCTCCACCCCGCCACTAAGCTGGCAGCCCCGGAGTCAAGAGGGAACCTCGAAGGCCTGTGGGTCCCCCCTGGAGGTACCCCCAAAGTGGTCCTAGAGCTAGCGAGGGCCAGTGAGCGCTCAGCGAGACTGCGCGTTTCCATCCATTCCCGTCTATCTATCGCCTGTCTATCGGGGAGCTCAGACTTCGGCCAGTCACCCGGGCTCTGGGGGCTCTTGGGGAATGAAGCCAGCCCTTCGGCGCCTCTGGCCTTCCGGCCCCGGTGACCTCAGGGCTGGGGTCGCCCTGCTTCTCACGCGAGCCCGGACTCAGTAACCCCGGGGAAAGAGGTCATCACAAGGCAGCCCCGCCCCACCTGCCAGGTCCCCGTCAACTAGTAGCAAGAGGGAGGCACTTGCAAGCCCAGTGTCCTGGGGATGCAAAAATTAGGGTGAGGGGTTACCGCACCCGGGTCTGGAGGGCTTCCCATACCGTGTCTTTGGGCGGTTTGGGGACTTCTTCAAATCCCCACCTCAGGTGGGGTCTGCGCTGTCCGTGGGGACCTTGAAACTGGGGTCTCAAGTATCCCCAGCCGTCACCCCTTTTCCTGCTGGCACTTGGATGAGGAGTCCCCATAGTGAGTTCTAACCTGTCCCTGAGTTCCCCCAACCCAGTCTAACCCCCACTTCCCATCTCCCGTTCCTCCCCTCTATCCCCTCTATCCTAGAGCAACCCCCTCTTCAGTCCGCCCCTCCCTCTGCCTAGCTCCAGGGGGTGTGGCCAAGCGCTCCAGCTGTTTATAAAGGTGGAAGTGCTTTTCACCCTCATCCTGAAGGTGACAGTTCCTAGGAGCCTTCCCTGATCTTCTTCGGGGTCTCTGGCTTAAGAGACCACTCATCCCAGCTCACTTCAGTACCTCTTCACAGCCGCAGGTGAGTGCTGGGGACTTCTGGCTTGCCCTTTCCCTCCCAACAGCAAGAAAATTTTGATGCCTCTTAGGTTTTCCTAGGTGGCCGCTGACCTGGCACCTCAAAAAAGGAGGCTAAGAGCGTCCTTAGTGACCAGGCACTCCATCTCCATAGTGGGAAGACTGAGGCCAGGGGAAGAACAGGAATTAGCCAAGGTCCCACAGCTAGTGTCAGAATTCTAGATTTTCCATGGGCTCCCTTCAAGGACTCCGGGATTCAGCCTTCAGTTCCATTCCCACTGACTCTCTGAAAGCCCTCTGGGCTTCCCCATCAGGGTCACCTGGGAGGCTGGAATATGTATACCGTATACCACTGCGGGAGGCAAGAATGATGTGCAGCACCTTGTTCAAGCTGTGTGAGGAGGGGGGCTTCTCCCTGGGTGGACAGGTTGGATGGAGGGGGCAGGTTGGGCTCTTATCTGTTGTACCTTGCCTTATCTAAAAGCTACCCCTGGCTGTCTCAACCCTCCCACCCCCAAGGCCTCGCTTGTCAGACCCAAGATGTGCTGGCTAGGACAAGAGATGCTGATCTGAACGGGAGTCCTGGGCACTGCCCAGGGTCCCTCCGTATCCCACTAACTGCCTTCTCTGTCCTGTGCTCGGGGGCAGTCTATGGGAGAGCCTACCGAGAGTTGGACTGTCAGTCCCTGAAAACTCACCAGTCACATCTTTCTTGGCCTCTTACTGTTGTGCTAAGGCTGGAGGTCATCTGGGCACCCCGTGTGCCGAAGGGAAACCATGGCACCCCAAGACCTATCCCTACGTCACTCAGGGAGTCAGGGCTTGAAGGATCCAGCTCCTCGAGGAGGCCTCCCTAGACAGATGGCTGTATAAGGTAGGACCCAGGCAATCTCCCCATCTTGGGAAGTTCTGTGAGGAAACCAGGATTCAGATGGGGAGGCTCCCCAGGTCAGATCTGGGTTTTCTCTTCTCTGAGATCTAACTGAGCCTCCTGAATCAAAGATCATATCCCCACCTCCACCCCAAGTGATATAACTGCCAGAAAGGCAAGATGACAAGTCCAAGGCCCGTGGACTTGGAATGGGGAAACGTGGAGCTCCTCATCTCCAGTCCGGGACATGTGGCAGGAGCCCCAGTCAGAGGCCCATGTCTTGAAGAGAATACTCAAGGAATTTGCACACCCTTTCTAGAACAAGCCTAGAGAGAAAGTATTGTCTCCACTTCTGTTAAATTTAGATTGATTCCTAATTTCCCCAATTCCAGTCTAGTGTTTTCTTGCAGCCCTTATCTGGTGGGAGTCTTCCATTTATTCTGTTCTTGGTGACTAGGAAATGGGGGAGGCCCAGACCGTTCATTCATTTAGAACCGAGCCCAGTGAAAACCCTGGCCTGGATTTCTGTGACCGGGAGCCTCAATGTAGCTTGTCTCTGGTTGCTTTCAAACCCTGGGTCAGTCTGACTCAGAGAGCCTCATGAGGTGGAGTAGTGTGGCTTAGGCAGTGGCCTTGGGGTTCCCTGTCCCTTCCCTATCCTGTCCCAGGGTCTGGTCTGGCAGGATTCCCTAGACCCTGGGATGGAGATATAGAAAATGGAGAGTTCTAGGAGAGAATGTGACCACTCTTCAAAGGGAGGTAGCTGTGACAGGAGCTCCGGAACTTCCTAGGGAACTTTCCCTAAGAGGTCTGAGTCCCAGCTGTGTCACTGAGTGGTGGGTGACTTTAGTCAAGTCAGTGGCCCCTCTGGAGGTCAATGTCCCCAAATGTGAAATGAGCCAAAAGGAACACATGATCCCTAGTTCTCCTGATATCCTTGTTTCCCCAAGTGAGGTGGATAGTACTCAAGGGGGTTGGTGGTGATGTCTGTCGATTATGTGTTTGATAAACATTAGGGGGAAAAAAATCAAACCTGTACTTTGACACAGATATTTTTGTTTGGGATGATGCTATGTGGGTAGATTTAAAATTGATTATATTTTATTTTTTTAAGATTTATTTATTTGTTTGACAGAGATCACAAGTAGGCAGAGAGGCAGGCAGAGAGAGAAGGAAGCAGGCTCCCTGCTGAGCAGAGATCGATGTGATGTGGGGCTCAATCCCAGGACCCTGGGATCATGACCTGAGCCGAAGGCAGAGGCTTTAACCCACTGAGCCACCCAGGCGCCCCTAAAGTTAATTTTAGAAAAGCATAAAATAAGTGACAGTACAGGTGCTATATGAGAATCACAGACTGATGTGTAGAAAACCCTTTTTAAAATATTTTATTTTATTTTATTTTATCTTATTTTATTTTATTTCAGTTTAAGGGGGCTCCACGCTGGGCTTGAACTCACAACCCTGAGATCAAGACCTGAGCTGATATCAAGAGTCAGATGCTTAACTGACTGAGCTACCTAGGAGCCCCAAAGAAAAACCTGCTTTAGATAGGTGCAGCAGTGTTCTGGAATTGGGCACTTTGGGTTGGGAGTGTGGATCCAACACTGTGTGACCTTGTGCTAGTTACTTAACCTCTCTGAGCCTCACCGTAGTCTACCTTATAGGCTGTGGCCAGGACTGAATGAATGAATGACTGTGAAATTCTTGGCACATGGCGGCATCTCAACAAACAGCTTCTCCCATCTCCTCCTCCCCTTCATGTCCAGATAGCTGTTCTGGATAGGAAAATTTCTCCTTTCTTTGACCAGCATGCTGACACTTTAGGACATTGGTTCCTCATATCCCCCCATCTGATATCTTGGTCTTTTCTCCCCACCCTGCCTCTCAGCAGTCATCTGGAGAACTCTACACTGATGATGTCCTCTGTGTCCATACTCTCCATCCCCATCTCGGCCACAGAGTTTCTTCTGGCCTCCTCCGTCTTCTGCCTAGTGCTCTGGGTGGTCAGGGCCTGGCAGCCTCGGGTTCCCAAAGGCCTGAAGAGTCCCCCGGGGCCGTGGGGCTGGCCCCTGCTGGGGAATGTGCTGACCTTGGGGAAGACCCCACACCTGGCGCTAACGAGGCTGAGCCAGCGGTACGGGGACGTGCTGCAAATCCACATTGGCTCCACACCCGTGCTAGTGCTCAGCGGCCTGGACACCATCCGGCAGGCCCTGGTGCAGCAGGGGAACGATTTCAAGGGCCGGCCTGACCTCTACAGCTTCACTCTGGTTACTGATGGCCAAAGCATGTCCTTTAGCCCGGACTCTGGACCAGTGTGGGCTGCACGCAGGCGCCTGGCCCAGAGTGCCCTGAAGAGTTTCTCCACTGCATCAGACCCGGCTTCCTCGTGCACCTGCTACCTGGAAGAGCACGTGAGCAAGGAGGCAGAGGCCCTCCTCGGCAGGCTACAGGAGCAGATGGCAGAGGCTGGGCGCTTTGAACCCTACAGATATGTAGTGGTGTCGGTGGCTAATGTCATCTGTGCCATGTGCTTTGGCAAGCGCTATGACCACGATGACCAAGAGCTACTTAGCTTAGTGAATCTGAGTAATGAGTTCGGGGAGGCGGTTGCCTCTGGGAGCCCCACGGACTTCTTTCCCATCCTTCGTTACTTGCCCAACCCCGCCCTGGATTCCTTCAAGGACCTGAATAAGAAGTTCTATAGCTTCATGCAGAAGCTGGTCAAGGAACACTACAGAACATTTGAGAAGGTACTGGCTGGGGAGAGGCAGGCGGCTGTGGGAAGCAGTAGGGTTGGGGCCGGAAGGTCAGAGACAACTGGAGGAGTAGGGGGTTTGGCGGGCTCTCAGGGACTTCGCCCTGGTATTTTGAGGCGAGCGGTTGAGTGGACTCCGTTCTTGGCAGGGAAATAGAACTTTTCCTTGATTGGCCTTTCTATCCTTCCATCAGACAGCAATATTTACTGAATACCCAGTCTGTGCAGGACCCAAGGCCAGTGGTTGTGGGCAACAGAGAGTTAAAAAGCTGTTCTCCTGGCCTCATAGATGACACCTCTGTCTCTGGGGTGCCTTGAATTGGGGCTGCCAGCATTCCAAGACAGGAGAGAGCCTTAAAGAGACCCGAGAAGCTGGTCTGGCAACCTTGGGGTGGAGGGGTCACCTCTTGAATGAAGGTGCTAGGGATGTGAGGAACCAGGCCTCGTGGAAAGGTAGGCCTGGATTTGGGATCTCGTTCACCTGTGGGCCTTCCCTACCCAGGGCCACATTCGGGATATCACAGACAGCCTGATCGAGCACTGCCAGGAGAAGAGGCTAGATGAAAATGCCAACATCTTGCTGTCTGATGAGAAGATTGTTAACGTTGTCTTGGACCTGTTTGGAGCAGGTATGAGCTACCCCTTCGTGCCTTTCCTATGCCCGGCTGCCCGGACCTGCCAACTGCTTGAGCTTTCCCTTTGTTCTCCACGGGGCAGGATTTGACACGGTCACAACTGCCATCTCCTGGAGCCTCCTGTACCTGGTGACGAACCCCAGTGTGCAGAAAAAGATCCAGGAGGAGCTGGGTAGGTGGGGGCTTCCTTTGAAGTGCTCAAGGCAGAAGGCCTGGCCAGGTTCTGGGCAGCCCCTTCATGCACATAGTCCTTTTATTTTATTTTATTGTAAATATTTTGTTTGAAACAGTGAGTGAGAGAGGAGAGCACAAGCTGGGGGAGGGAAGGGGGAGAGGGAGAGGGAGAAGCGGGCTCCCTTCTGAGCAGGGAGCCTGATGCGGCGCTCGATCCCAGGACCCCAAGATCATGACCTGAGCTGAAGGCAGATGCTTAGCAGACCGAGCCACCCAGGTGCCCCACATGGTCCTTTATGTTCTGCAGACACAGTAATTGGCAGGGCCCGGCAGCCCCGGCTCTCCGACAGGCCCCAGCTGCCCTACATGGAGGCCTTCATCCTGGAGATATTCCGACACGCTTCCTTCGTCCCCTTCACCATCCCTCATTGGTGAGGCCCCATGGATCGACTGCTGTCCCTCCAGTCCGTGCACCCTATCAGGGCCAGTGGGAGGGACCAATGTGGGAGGCAAGGGGATGTCCTTGTGGTCCTGAGCCTGATTGGACTTCCTTCTTCCCCAGCACTACAAGAGACACAAGCCTCAGTGGCTTTTACATCCCTAAGGGACGTTGTGTCTTCGTGAACCAGTGGCAGATCAACCATGACCAGTAAGTTGAGAGGAGGCAAGGGCAACTCTGCCCTCTCCCGAACTCCAAACCCTGCTGTCCTCGGGCCACTTGGCCATCCCCTGCTCTTCCAGGCTGGGGTTCAACCCACTGGATGCTTCTGAGCCTCTGGGCTACCACTTTAGCTGCTTCTCTCTGATTACAGGAAGCTCTGGGGTGACCCGTCTGAGTTCCGACCAGAACGATTTCTCACTCTTGATGGCACCATCAACAAGGCACTGAGTGAGAAGGTGATTCTCTTTGGTATGGGCAAGCGGAAGTGCATCGGTGAGACCATTGCCCGCCTGGAGGTCTTTCTCTTCCTGGCCATCCTGCTGCAGCAGGTGGAATTCAGTGTGCCCCAGGGCACAAGGGTGGACATGACCCCCATCTATGGGCTGACCATGAAGCACGCTCGCTGTGAGCACTTCCAAGTGCGGGTGCGCACTTAGGGGACTGAGAACCCTGCAGCCTAGACTCTGCCTACCTGGCCTGTCTGGGCAGCCAGGACAGGGGGCTGGCCCAGGTCCAGGGGGTGTTCTAAGCCTCCGCCAGAAACCCACAGATATTGGTCTGGCTGGATTTTGCTGTCTGGGCTGCAGGCAAGGCTGAAGGATCATGCCTGCCCACCACCCTGGACATGCTGCTCTGCGTACTGACCATGGACAGTGGGCACAGCAGGAGCCCCAAAGGAGCAGATGGAGCCTTTTGGAATTGTGCTTGAGCCAGGAGGCTTGGTTGGTTTGGGAGGTCCTAAGCCCCTGGAGAGCTTGAGGGAATGCACTAAAAGGCCATAAACCCAGTGGCTGGCTGGCTTTCTGTGGGGGTGGATTGGCTGGAGAAACATTTAGAGCAGGCCACACCGGGGCCTGTCCAATCCCTCTGACACTTGGGAGCTGTCACTAATGAAGGGAAGAAGCATCTTCATATCTGCTGAGCGATCTGACCACGGGGTTCTGGGCCACTGTGATGCCTTTTGTGTTCTCCCTGCAGGCAGCAACAGGGCTGCCTCCCAGCCTTGGAAGGCCCCTGTTCCTGTCCAGGAGGGGCTGGGGACTTGGACATGTCTAAGAGGAGTAGAGAGCAGAGGGAGGGCCCAGATTCAGACACCAGAGACCAGTTCTCTATGCCCTATATAAAAATGCCTTTTAAAAATGTTTGTACGCAAGAAGCTTTTTTTTTCGCCTGCATTTATCATACATAAGAACTTAAGAACAACTTACTGAGTGCAATAGAGAAAAAGTCGAACCCAAGTATCCAGAAATGTGTAAGAAACACCTACCTTGGGGCGCCTGGGTGGCTCAGTGGGTTAAAGCCTCTGCCTTCATCTCAGGTCATGATCCCAGGGTCCTGGGATCGAGCGCCACATCTGGCTCTCTGCTCAGTGGGGAACCTGCTTCCCCCTCTCTCTCTGCCTGCCTCTCTGCCTGCTTGTGATCTCTGTCTGTTAAATAAATAAATAAATAAATCTTTAAAAAAAAAAAAAAAGAAAGAAAGAAACACCTACCTAAGCTAAATAAAGATATTATCCAGCACTCCTATTGTGGAAATTTTTTGATTCTTGAGTGAATCCGTCACTCCTCTACCTGCCCAGTCTGAGCCCAGTCTCATGGTGGGTTTTACTCAGGGAGGAAGAGGAGGAAGAGGAGGCGGTGAAGAGGTGAAGCCATGGCTCTCAGACACTCAGCGTCCAGCTGGGGCCCAGGACTACCACCTCACTGCCTTCCTCTAACTGATCACACACCGATGAAGTACATTCTCTAGACCAGGCACTGGGAGATACACAGCAAATAAGACACGGTCTTGGCCTTCAGAAGTCTCCCAGACTCATTGGAGAAACCAACTCCTGAACACATCACCCAGTTCATTGTGATGAGGGCTCTACCAGACAGATGCATGGAAGACGATGCCCTGAGCTGGGGCTGGGTGGCAGGGGGAGAGAGAGAGAGAGTGAGTGAGTGTGTGTGTAAGGGGATGCTGCAGATCTTGGGGATATCGATACAGATTCTTCCTCAAAGAATGAGAGGCAGGGGACGCCTGGGTGGCTCAGTCTGTTGAGCCTCTGACTCTTGATTTTTGGCTCAAGTCATGATCTCAGGGTTGTAAGATCAAGCCCTGCCTCCGGCTTTGTGCTCAGTGAGGAGTCTGCTTGAGATTTTCTCTCCCTCTCCTTCTGCCCCTCTCCCCTACTCACATTTTCCCTCTCACTGTCTAAAATAAATAAATAGATCTTAAAAAAAGAAATGAACAATACTAAACTGCAGTGTCTGGGAATACACACTTGGCAACAACTCTTACAATAAGAAGAAGGAAATGATTACTATCAGGATATAGAGAGTGGTCGCTCTGGTGGGGAGGGAGTGTGTTATAATTGAAATGGCCATGTAGACGGCTTCCAGGATGACCGATAAAGTTCCATTTTTTTCCCCCAAAGATTTTATTTACTTATTTGACAGAGACACAACAAGAGAGGGAACACAAGCAGGGGGAGCGGGAGAGGGAGAAGCAGGCTTCCTGCCAAGCGGGGAGCCTGATGGAGGGCTCGATCCCACGACCCTGGGATCATAACCCGAGCTGAAGGCAGACACTTAACAACTGAGCCACCCAAGCGCCCCTAAAGTTCCATTTCTTAACCTGGGTGTGGTCCAAAGATACTTGCTTTATAAAAATGAGAAAAAAAAAACAAAATATCTTGTACTTCTCTTTGCTTTTTAGAAATGTAATGAATATATATGGTCGATCCCCTTCAACCAAAGACCACCAAGAACATACTTGTAGTGACACAAGCTGGGTTTATAATTCATTGCAGGTAGTGAGGGAAAACGGCCACCAGAGGGAACTGTGGGGTGTCCCAATAAGAGGATGTTAGAATCTCTTACAAGATTTGGGCTTTGGCTAAGTATTTTAGGGGAAGGTTAGTTCTAGACTGGATTCTGTTAGAAAGTGGAGACAATTCTATGCTTGGGTGTCTTGTGGGTAGCAAGCACTGTGACCTGGCTTTTCTCAATGCTTAGACAAAACAAAGAAGTGGCCTTATGTTTTTTTTTCCTATATTTTAAAAAATTTTGGTAGAATACATATAACATGAAATTTGCCATCTTGGGGCACCTGGGTGGCTCGGCCGGTTAAGAGTCTGCCTTCAGCTCAGGTCAGGATCCTGAGGTACTGGGATTGAGCTCAGGCTTTGGGCTCCCTGCCCAGAGAGGAGCTTGCCTCTCCCTTTCCCTCTGCTACTCCCACTACTTGTGCTCTCTTGTTCTCTCTCTGTCAAATAAATAAAGAAAATCTTTAAAAAAAAAAAAGAAATTTACTGGGGGCACCTGGTGGCTCAGTGGGTTAAAGCCTCTGCCTTCCGCTCAGGTCATGATCCCTGGGTCCTGGGACGGAGCCCTACATCGGGCTCTCCGTTCAGCGGGGAGCCTGCTTCCTCCTCTCTCTCTCTCTGCCTGCCTCTCCGCGTACTTGTGATCTGTCAAATAAATAAATAAAATCTTAAAAAAAAAAGAAATTTACCATCTTAACCATGTTTTTGGTTTTTTTTTAAGATTTTCTTTATTTATTTGACAGAGAGAGATAGAGAGAGGGGAAACACAGGCAGGGGGAGTGGGAGAGGGAGAACAGGCTTCCTTACGGTGCAGGGAGCCCAATGCAGGGCTGGAGCCCCACATGGGACTCAATCCCAGTATCCTGAGATCATGACCTAAGCCGAAGGCAGACGCTTAACCCACTAAGCCACCCAGACATTCCCCATGTTTTCCTCATTCAATTATTTCTAGTTTTATACCCATGCAGCTGGAAAAGATACTTAGTATTATTTCAGTACTCTTAAATTTGCCATGACTTGTTTTATGACCTATCATATGACCTATCTTGGAGACTGTTCCTTGTGCACTTGAATAAAATATGTTCTCAGCTGCTATTGGTTGGAATCTCCTGTGTATCTGTGATAGGTCTATTTGGCATAAAGTATGATTCAAGTCCAATGTTTCCTTGTTGATTTTTCTCTCTGGATGATATATCTATTGTTGAAAGTGAGATTTTGAAATCCTTCACTATTATGATATTGCTGCCTACTTTTCCCTTCGGATCTGTTAGTATTTGCTTAATATATATTAGATGTTCTGGTGTTGGGTGATATATATATGATTATTATTTCTTGTTGATGAACTGACTCCTTTAGCATTATACAGTGACATTCTTTGTCTTTTGTTAGTATTTTTGGCTTGAAGCCTTGTTTTGTCAAAATACAGCTACCTATGCTATCTTTTGGTTTCCACTTGCATTGAGTATCTTTTTCCATCCTTTCCCTTTGAGCCTCAGTGTGTCCTGAAGACTGAAGCGTTTTTTTGTTTGTTTGTTGTTGTTTTGTTCCTTTTTGGTTTTTGTTTGGTTTTGGAGAGGAAGAGCCAGGCGAGGACTTTGTGACCCCAGGAAAGCAGCTGCTAGGGAGCAGCACCTGGAGCCAAATGGGCTTCTGAGGGCAGGTAGGAGACGTGGCCTGCGGCGCTCGAAGCCCAGCTGGGTCCCAATGGCACGCCTTCCTGTTCACGTGACCTTCACCAAGTGTTGTAAACCGTAAAAAGTAAAGATCCGTCCGCGTCCGCGGAGGAGCAACAGGAGGCCTCCACAGAAGAGCTCACTAAGTGCCCGACTTCGTAAGCACGAGGCACCCAGCATCTCAGTTAAGCCTCATCACGGCTGCGCGCGCAGGGACCGTCACCCCCGTGCTCCACTTGAGAAAACGGAGACGCAAAGATGGTAAATACCACGTCCCGCGTGGTCCGTGGGGGCGGGGCCGTCCATACATCATTTCAAATCCTCCTTTACTTCCAGTCGGGGCACGTCGGTAGCGGCACCTGGGAGAAGGTCAGGTCAGGGCTGAGGTTGGAGAACTCGGAGCCCAGCTTCCTCACGCCTCCCTCTCTCCGGCGGAAACACCTGTTCTCACCTCACGCTCTTTGTCACGCCCCCTGCCGGCTGGGTAGCCCTGAAGGACGCGGCCGGGGCTGCATTTCCCCTCTGGCCTCCTTCACGGGGAGAGGCCGAGAGAGGGCGGGAAGCGTGGGGTCAGGGATGAAGCGTGGGTGCGCGCTCCGTGGAGAAGCGACCTTCGTTTCCCAGCTCATGCTTGAGGCCACATGGGCCTGCAGCCTGGAGGCAACAGAGAGGAAGGGACCCGTGGGCCCCGGGGAGGTGAGTGGGGCTGACTTTGCCGGGGTGAAAGGGAGATGGTCCGTACGGAGGCTCAGTGCGGGGGCTCACATCAGGCGGCTATCTGCTGCCTTCAGCCAGGCCTGCTGGGCCGCCTGGGACCTGGGAGGGAAACCGCGCAGGAGGGTGGTACGTGGGGAGCTGAGGCCCGGCTGCGGACCTTCCAGAAGAGACAGTGCTTCGCCTTGAGGAATGTGTAGGCGCTTGCTCCATATGAAAGTAGGAAAGGGCATTCCAGGGAGCGGGAACAGCATGCAC